AAAGATGAAGCTCTGCAAGTGTTCAAGAACTTCAGAAATCTAGTAGAAAATGAAACGGGAGAGAAGGTGAATGTACTTAGAACTGATCGTGGTGGCGAATTCTTATCGAATAAGTTCACGAACTATTGTAATGAGACAGGGTTGCAGAGGCATTACACTTCCCCATACTCTCCACAGCAGAATGGGGTGGTGGAGAGAAGAAATCGAACCATACTGGAGATGGTTAGGTGCAATCTAAGAACAATGGAGATGCCGGATGTGTTATGGGGCGAAGCAGTAAGTCACTCCATTTAGGTGTTAAACAGAGCTCACACAAAAGCCTTGAAAGAAGAAACCCCATATGAGATGTGGACCGGAAGAAAACCCAATGTCGAACATTTGAGAGTGTTTGGGTGCGTCGCTCATATGAAAATCGCAAAAGGCCATCTGAAGAAACTTGACAATCAAAGCATGAAGCTGGTTCATCTCGGAATCGAAAAGGGAACAAAAGCTTATCGGTTACTGGACCCAGACACCGGTAAAATGTACGTGAGTAGAGATGTTTTTTCGAGGAACACCAGAGATGGATATGGGAGAAGAATGCGAAAGTGAAGGAGACGCCGGGAATGTCCTTCACCGTTGAAGGTTTCAATTTTGATGATGATTATGTTGATGAAGAAGAGTCGGAGCCGGTAACACCACAACAAGAGAATGAGGCTTCTCAAACAGACAGTGACTGGGCTGAAAACACCGGGCCCATTAACTCGCCGGCTGATTCCCAAATAAGCCCACATAGCGTTCCATTTAACCTAGCGGGTACACCAGATGCTCCACCATCACCGATCCCTCCGATCCCTCCGATCCCATCTCCATCCACAGCATCGAGTTCCACAGGTGGTGGTGCTCCGAAACGATATCGCCTACTCAAAGACTTGTACGATCAAACAGAAGAAATGGAGGAGATTGAAGAACTATTGATGATACGCAACGACGACAAGCTAACCTCATACACAGAAGCCAGTAAGCGAAGGGATTGGATCGATGCGATGGATGCCGAAATAACATCAATTGAGAAGAATAAGACATGGAGATTGGTCGATCTTCCCAAGAATCGAAAGGCAATTGGATTAAGATGGGTCTACAAAGTGAAGAAAGCCCCGAATGGAAAGATTGTGAAGTATAAAGCGAGAATTGTGGCGAAGGGGTATGCTCAAAAACAAGGGGTTGATTACGAAGAAGTATTCGCACCAGTGGCCAGAATCGAAACTGTTCGAGCGATTCTAGCACTCGCAGGTATAAACGGATGGGGCGTTCATCACCTCGACGTCAAATCGGCATTTCTAAACGACACACTAGAAGAAGAAGTCTATGTGACTCAACCTGAGGGTTTTTTCAAGAAAGAAGAAGCGAATAAGGTGTACAGACTCACAAAAGCCCTATATGGCCTAAAGCAAGCGCCTAGGGCGTGGAATGCCTGCTTAGATAATCACTTGAAGAATCTAGGATTCGCAAGGTGTGCGCAAGAATACTCTGTTTACATGAAGAAAGAAAGAGGTAACATTCTTATCATTGGTGTCTATGTCGATGATCTGATAGTCACAGAGGATTGTCAAATGAGTATTCGAGCTTTCAAGAATGATATGAAAGCAAAATTTGAAATGAGTGACCTCGGTCTGTTGAGTTATTATTTGGGAATGGAGGTGAGCCAAAGGGAGACTGGGATATCATTGAAATAGGAAGCTTATGCCAGGAAGCTCTTGATGAAGACACGAATGCAAGACTGTAATCCTACGAAGAGTCCCATGGAGCACAAGCTAAAATTGACTAGAGATGGTGGCGGAGAACTGGTAAATCCCACAGAATACAGAAGTTTGGTTGGAGACCTAAGGTACTTAACTCATACTCGACCTGATATTACCTTTGCTGTGGGAGTGGTAAGTAGGTTTATGGAGAAGCCAACAGAGCAGCACTTGCAGGCTGTAAAGGGTATTCTAAGGTATGTGAAGGGAACCCTGAATCATGGTTTATGCTACACTAGAAGCAAGGATGAAGTCACAGTTACAGGATACTCAGACAGTGACCTGGCCAATGACGTGGTGGATAGAAAGAGTACAGGGGGGATGACATTTTACATGAACAACAAATTGATCACTTGGGCATCCCAAAAACAGCGTGTTGTTGCCCTATCATCCTGTGAAGCGGAGTTTATAGCTGCAACAATGGCAGCTTGTCAGGGAATTTGGTTGAGACGCTTATTGACAGAGATAACCAAGCAAAAGGTCCCGCCTGTCACTCTATATGTTGATAATCAGTCAGCCTTGGATTTGATGAGGAATCTGGTGTTCCATGGGCGTAGCAAACACATAGACATACGATACCACTTCATCAGGGACTGTGTAGAGAAAGGTGAGATCATAGTCAACTATGTGTGCAGCAAAGAGCAGAAAGCAGACATCTTGACCAAAGCAATGGCAAAGACAAAGCATGAAGAAATGAAGGCTTTGATTGGAGTTAAAAAGGTATGAAATTTCTGAATTAAGGGGGAAAATATTGAGAATAATTCTGAAATTATTATCATTTATGCACGTTTTATTTTAGCATTTCAAGTTCTGAATAAATCAAGCCATGTTGGCATTGAGAGTCCGAGTCTTTAGTAGTAGTGGAGGTCGTTTCCTGCTTTCTAGTTTAGTTTCTCTTTAAATGTTTAGGAAAAGTGTACGTTGAGTTTTTATCTAAAGCATAAGTTCAAAGAAGCGTGAAGCTTTAACCTCTCCCCTGTTGTTCTTTTCTTTGATTTATTGCTGTTTCCAATTGAGTGAGGTTTGTGAAAAAACCTACAACCACCATGCCATGGCTCTTGGCTATAGACTCATGCTGCCTAAGGATAAACTCCAGCGCTGGACCTTTTGGGTTGAGCTCGTTAAACGGTGGTTCAAAGTCGTTCCTTGTTAACTTGAGTCGAGGGAAGTTTGGAACAGGAAACGGCTCGTCATCGGAACTAACCGCTGCATGTGGCTTGAACTTGGCCATGATATTACATATGGCCGTGGAAAAGTTGTTGATTCCGTAGAAAACTAAACGGGGGATGCCTAGCTTATCGGCGGAGTCTTGTGTCCACATTAGAAACCCATCGGAGATTATGCAGGTGACCGGCGGCAGACTCCGGATGACTTCTTCAAATCTAGGCTGGAGTTTTTCTGTCGCTTCCACGAAACTAATGAAAGAAGTCATAGACGGTAGTTTGTCGGTAACTTCTACTCCGGGAGGGACACCGACAATGTTATCCGGGAAGGGGATGTCTATGATGGAGATGGAGTCGTTCTTGACGGTGGCTCGAATGGTGGAGTGGTTGGCGGGGGTGGTAATTATGGTGACGGAGATATGGCGATCGGAGAGGATGCGGGAAAGGTAGAGGAGGGGGATGGTATGGCCTTGAGACATGAACGGAAATATGACGAAATGTGGGGTTGAAGAAATCGTCATTTTTAGACTTTAGTGCGGTACTCACAGATGAATGGCAGATTTATAGAAGAAGTGTAGGGGGGGGGGGCAATTTCGTGATATAAATGGAAAAATTGTGATTAGAATATCAAGCAGTTCATAAAATCACGTGATCTTGCATGAGTCTACCGTTTCTTGACCGGAAAATGAGTTAAGGAAATCGTTCAAAAAATCATGTTTTGTTTTTTTTAAGAAAACTCAACGAACTTAATTTTTGTCTAAAAAAACCAAACTAAGTTATATTTTTGTTAACTCTATGGAAGTCAAAGGTGGATTATTAATTACCATATCAGGAAAATGACTTGTGAGACTAACATAGTTTCCATACCATTCAAAAAACACCAATCATGTTTTGTTTTTTTTTAAAGAAAACTCAATGGACTTAACTTTTTAAATAGACAAAACATGATTGAAATTTTTTGAACAGTTTGGAAACTTTGTTGGATTTTTTTTAGAGAAAATGTTAAGTTCATTGGGTTTCTTGAATAGATAAAACATGATTAAAGTTTTTTGAACGGTTTGGAAACTTCGTTGGCCGTGTAAGTTATTTTCCATTTCTTAATTGTTGTTTTAGCTACGCGACTTGGCAGCACCATAACAAATTATTATAGCGTTTGATTAGACTAGAAAAAAACACAATAAGACATAAAATTTACTGTATTAGTGTATTACCCTTTTAGAAAAAGTAAAACTTCATTTAATACACGTACCTTTAAAATTAACAATTTTTTTTAAAACGATATTTAAAATCCTATCGATTAAAACAATTTTTAATACCAAATAATCGATCACGTCAACTACTTAATCTAACTCGCCAATAATTTAACAAATCAGAACAAATATTATGAAGAAAAGCTACAAAATTAAGAAAAAAAGAAGAGTTAAAACGATTTGGGTCGTAAGTATAAGTACATTTGTTTCTTTTTTGTTATTTATTTGGAGATGTACAGAGGTGTCAATCATATTTTTGTTTAAAATTGCCATCATCAATCTTTCGTTTGCTTAGGAAGTTCAAAAAATTAAATAATTAAACAACATTATATACCCCAACTTATAGAGAATAAATAAACAAAAGGATAATTTTTTTATCGCGGGAAAAGGAAGAGTGGTAATTTGTGTACAGATTCTCGAGAAATTTGATGACTAATCATTCCCTAAATTAAAATTTGAAAAGTTTATTTAAAAAAAACATTAAACAATGTACAACGTTTTTACAATACCATTCATTGTATATAAGATACACGAAGAAGATAGTTATCATGAAAGCTTTTGATAACGAAAAACATTTGCATAGGTTTGACACTTTGAGTCGATGCTAATTCGGGCAGTTTGTCGAATTGAAAGTAGGATATATTTGTTGTATTCAGTTCCATCTTTTTGGGCGAGACTTATTTTTTAACAAATTGTCTCACTAACTTCGTCAACAACTTATTTAGGATGCGTTTGGCGTCATAACTAGCTGAAAAGTTAGCTTATTTTTCAAGCTTTTTTGGGTTGTCGTGTTTGGTAAGTAAAAAAGCTAGCTTATAAGCTAGTTTTTAAATTAGTTTTTTAGGAATTTTTTTTACAAACTTCCCAAATATACCCTTAATTAATTATAAAAAAACTTATTTTGGAAATTTCCATTTTATGTAATTTTATATTTTCCAGCTAGCCTATTAGCTGATTTTTACCAAACATCATTTTTTATCAGTTAACAGTTAATTTTTTAACCATCAGCTAGTTTTTTACTTTTCAGCTACCATTTAGTTTTTCAGCTAACACGCCAAATGCAGCTTTAGTTCTTGTCCATTCCATGATCATCTAAAAAATCTTGTTTTGTCTTGTCTCATTCAGTTTCATCTGTCAAACGTTACCTTACAATACAGACAATATGAACATGAAACTAATTAGAACCAAGAAAATTGATCATGAATTTTGAAAATCAAATTATAAAATGAGAAGTTAAATATCTTTCTACAAAATCTTCCTACTCATTGGATTATGACAAGTCTCATAATAAAAATACAAGATGAGAAAATAGAAATATTGAATTACACTTGACAATCAATGAATAGGTATGAGGACAAAATATGATGATAAAGTGGGAATCAATTTAATTTTCCTTATAGAGAAGTTAAATAAATTTGTTTTATATAAGCCTAACGGTTTTGTAACCATTTATAATCGTCAAACCGTTTTGCAGTTTCGACTATTGATCTTTTTAACTAATTGGTCGGGATGTGTTTCTTCCTTTAGTCACATAGGATTCTTTAACTATATGGTATACATAGATTAAAAAATAAGTTTTCCAGCTGACTACTGCGACTTCCCATCAATGCACGGATACAGGGAAGGGGTGTTGAAATTCATACTTGATATTTGAACAATTTGATAATCAATATTATGAACTAATAACAAATTATTTAGCAATGCCGAACAAACAAGTGGATAGATAATATTTATGACTAAATATCCAAAACGTTTTCACATAAACAAACAACTAGTGATTAATATTGATGATTAAACGTTGACAAGTTGCAAATAATAAGTTTAATTATTATTAATATTGTTATCAAGTTTCGTCTATATTTCATAATTAGTTGTGAGACCCGTATACTATACGGGTTGAATAGAAAAAAAAATTAAATATGAAGTTTTAAACTAAAGTTTATTTAAATTTGAAGTTTTAAATTTAAAATTTAAAATTTAAATTTTGAATTTTAAAAGAAACATATTAAATACAATATATGAGTAGTAATATTACAACTTATTGATTATTTTCAATTAAGACAATTATTAATTGAGGTGTAAATGTCATGTGTTAATTAATAAAAGATAAAAAAATGAAAAATGGAAAAACATTTATTCAAAAATATTAGAAAATGAGATGTATCTAAATATATGAGAGAATGACATTTGATAAATTTTTTTTTGATTTATTAGGGAAAAAGATGATCATTCACGATCATATCTAACTGACTCCTAATATAATCATGTTTGATATCTTCCAAATCTCAAAATTTAAAGAAAAAACATTAAAAATTAAGTTTCCCTTGTCATAATTTTTGTTATATTTATTCAAATATATTCGATAGAAAAAAAATGGAAAAAATAGTGGAAGAGAGTTACAACATTTATTTGGCTTTAAATAACAAGATCCAAGTCAATAATAGTATATTTTTAAAGAATGATATTTATTCAAATGTCTTCAATAAAGAATAAAAATGGGTGGAAAAGGGATACAACATTTATTTGGCTTTCAATCACATAATTTTCATTTATATGTTCTTATCTCATCCCAAGTACTAACGTAAGCCACAAATAAAAATATCTATTTTAGCAAAAACATAATATAATGATCTTTCTAATATATTTAAATGTTGATAATTAATTTATATTTGCTTTATTTTGAATCTAAAACATAGCAAATTGATTAAATTATATATATAAGGCTAGGTTCAAATATTTTCTAACAACTATTGTGTGCTCATATGCACAAATCTGAACCAACAGATGGAATAGGAGCAAATGTCATGATCTAAGAATCTATGATATTACAATAGGGTAACATATACCATATAATCACACAAATTTCAATATAAAGGCATTTTAGTCAATTAACATATTAAGAAAAAGAAATTTTCGTATTTTAAGGATAATTAGATCGTTTTTTTCATCTGAATTTTTAAAATAATTCGAATTTAATTTTAATATAACTTTTAATAATAATCGATTTTATTCTGTCAGAATGACAACAAGTCAAACATAAACTAGCAAAGATATTTTCGATTTTATTCTTACAGAATATGGTTACATTCAAGATATATATTGTTTTAAAATTAACATGCTTAAAGACTTTTACAACATATTATCAATAATAACATTTTCTAAAGAATTCAGATTTTATTCTTTAAGAATAACTAATTACATTAATTCATAAAGAATAAGGTTATAAACAATTATTACATTCATTCTGAAAAAAATCTAACCTATAATGGTTTAAGCATTACATTTAATCTTAAAGATTAAAACTAAACATGGTTACAAAAAAAATCAAAATCTAACAAAAACACTAATCCATTCTGAAAGAATATTACTGTTAAGAAACATATTATACATTGTGGCATAATACATTCTGATAGAATACACTCTCGTTCTCCATATTTTCTTCTTTTTCCACTTCAAAAACCTAAATCCACAAATAAAAAACATAATCAAGTTTCAAATATTAAAAATTCAGTGCATTCTAACAAAATAAAAACTATAAAATTCTGACAGAATAAAATAGAAACTATAAAATATGAGAAATGGTAATAGAGAATAAAAACTATAAATTCTGACAGAATGATGTAGATATTAAAGAATTATAATTTATTCCAATAGAATTTAATCCTAAACTGCAATGAGAATAACCGCCATAAAATCAAATAACATTAGCACTATAAAATAACATGAATTATCAAAACAACAAATAATAAAAATAGGTGGAAAAGGTATACAACATTTATTTGGCTTTCAATCACATAATTTTCATTTATATGTTCTTATCTCATCCGACGGACTAACTTAAGCCACAAATAAAAATATCTATTTTAGCAAAAACATAATATAATGATCTTTCTAATATATTTAAATGTTGATAA